ATGAATTAGGCCATGTTGTTTGTTTATGAGATATTATTATGCTGTTATTTCCCCGCCTATCTCGCAGACTCCAACGGCATGCCCACTTCCCACAAGGACGTTTTAGAATTGTGGGGCTGAGCGCCGTAGAGCGGACAATACATTCCTCGCAATGCCGCAGTGATCCCTACCGCTTTACGGCGCCCGATCTTACGGTAGAAATAACGAAACGGGAAATACACGGACAGCGTGAACTACTGTGAAATTAATGAGTGGGATGCCCATGACTTCGCTCCCGTGGCATTCACAGTATGCTCCGATCAAAGGGGTAGGAGGTAGAGCGAGATGCTCGTAGATCTTCTGTAAAATGCCCGTTATTTTTGTCCAGTTCTGACAAAAACTTAATTATGTTGACAGATTTTACTAAAACTGCCCAGTATAGATTGTCACAAAAATACTTCTGGTAGGAGCCGAGTTTCATATGGGAGAGAGACGGACAGCTGGATAGACAGACATGACGAGGCTAATGGATGTTTCTCGCATTTTTTTTTTGCGGACGCGTCTGTGAAGAATTGCAGGTCCCAGCAGTAGAAAGTGCAGCAAAATGCAACTATTCTGTTACGCGCTCTGAAAGACGCATTTTTTAGGTTTTTTAATAGTTGCTGTTTTAGTAATAATTAAATCTGGCGCTTATTTGAACCGTCATGTTCACTGCATTAAAACAAAAAACGTCAATTTGGCTCTACCCGGAGTAAATTAAGTCCAGTTCTCGAAAATTTGAATCAGAGGGACATACTGCCTTTGTATTCAGATTTCAAGCGTTAGTCATGCAAGCAAGCAACCAGCAAGCAGTGTTCCTCTGAAACGCTGGTAAACGACTACCAGACTGTACAGCGTCACGTCCCAGAGGATCATGCTCTTCATAGGCACCACTGTGAGAACCTAAAATGCGTTATTTATTTGGCTTAAATCCTTAAAGAAAATTAACCTTAAATGAATTAAACAGAGTGACAATTGAGACATGAAAATTCTCATATAATAGAAATGTCATACTTTAGGCTCTATCGTATTATAGCCCCTAGACTAAGGACTGGATGACCAGGGATCGATTTCAGGCATGTGCAAGACATTTTTTCCCCTCCATAGCATCCAGACGATCCAGACTGGATCTGGGCCCCACCCAGCCTCCTGTTCAATGGGAATCAGGTGCTCTATCCCTGGGGGTAAAGTGGCAGGGGAATAAAGCTGACCACTCAACTGCATCTAGTGCCGAAGTCAAGAATTGTGGGTCTGTACCGCCACTCTCTCATATGTCTTCATGGCATATTTGCTTAATTACATAATTAAGTACTGTTTCACTTCACTTTATCATATTCCATCAAGTGATTCAGAAGCCATGTGTGGTATAGTTCAGTGTCCCTTACACCTCTGTTTAAGGTTGTTAGCGACCCTGTCAGTAATGAGTACACCTCTGCACACACATAAAATTAATGGAGGTCGTGCAAACAAATTCCTTAAAACCCTAGTGAAAAACTTAATAGGTTTGTATTATGAGGTTCAGGTTGGCGGGGATATAGCTTTCTGTGGCCCTTTCGGTATTTAAAGAGATATACATTTGAAATATTATCTTACTTTCTTTCCTGAAACTAAATATTTGTGCAACTATATAGAAGAAAGTGGCTGAAGTAGAATTTCATCTTGTTTTAAAGAAAGGCTTTGTTACCGAAGGGACCAATATTTATGTTATATATAACCAACCTATCATTCCAAGTCCAGAAACTGTAAAACCAAAGTTATTTTCAGGGTACATTATGTAGTCCTTGAGTTCAAATTTGACTTATTTTCTTCGACAGAGCAATTCCAGGTCTTGCCTGTGGCCTGGAATTTATGTGTATTTTTATCATCATATCATCATATCCTATTCAGTATCACAGTTGCATCACATGTGAGGTTCAGCTGTTAATAGCCCTCACTGCAGGCTAGCTACATCTAGCTTGGAACGAACTTGAGATGCATGGGCTAAGATGTGGAGGAACACCATGAAGAAGGGCAATCATGACAAAATTAGCATCATTCACAAGCCAAGAAACTTAAGAAACATGTGTAGTGTTTACTGGATATTTGAATGCATGCAAATTCTGATGCCTCAGAATATAAAATCAGGACCACTTCTACTGCAACATGAAGCAAACAGCAGGGCTCTTGTTGCAGTAGAAGAGAAACAGCCTGTCATGAAGAGATAGAAGCAAGTATAACTAATTTGGAAGTTCACATTATGAAATTTATACGACCACAGTCAATAAGTTTGTGGTGTTTTCGACAGCTATATCAACGTTGGCAGACTTACATAGCGAGCAATGGCAACTATTTTGAGGTCTGATGTGGCTCTGCATAAGTGTATGTGAATACCTTGTAATATGATGCGATAAAACCACATTCCACGAACTTAATGATTCTACCACGTATGTCAGTGCTTACTGATTTGAACGTTAGTTTCCTAAATTCATTTTACTGCTGTTCTGTTCTGTTCTGTTCTGATTGATCTTGTATTATATTAGGGGCTGTAGGTGGTTTATCTCCAGCCCTCCTTACTCTCATGTGTCCACCTTGACTTTCTTGCATACCCCAAATGTGTATTTGGTCGTTTGAACAAAGTAGTTTTCTGATGAAATTGGGGGTGGGAGGAATAAAGGCTTGGTGAATTAATGCATCATTTTCTGATCCTCAGAGTCATTCTGTTAATACACTCAACTCTCGATTATCCGGGATAATGGTGGGGATGGAAATCACGATTAAACAAAAACCCGGTTAAGACAAATTTTATTAAAAGTAGTACTGTAATATTGTACCTTCATAATGCTATACGCCAACCTGTATTTAAATTTATTCAACCTCATTTTTATGTCATCTCATGGCCTATTTAATACTTTTTTTTTACATTACACTGAAGTATGAATTAGTTATTTCAATCACAGTCACATCCAACACTTTTTACGAATATTCACACTTAACACTTAAAAAAATTTAATATTGTTGTTTGCTTTTTCGCGGCATTTTCCTTTTTCTGTTGAATACTTAACACAACACGCTTCCTTTTACATTTTGCTAACACACTTGAAGATCGGTACAAAGATACTAACTGGGGCGATGGATCTGTCCTTGAAACTTTCCACAAATCCTTGCATTCTTTCACCCCTACCCTAGAACATTGTGTTAGCATAATGAGACCAAAGAATGCAGATCTCGGTTCACACTAGTGTGAAAATAGTGTTACAACTAACCATGTGAAACAAAAGTGAATGAATATTAAACAACATATAAGCCTCAAAAAAGCCTCAGTAGCCCCGGTTAAGCCGCAAACCGGTTAATCCGTCCCCCGATAATCGAGAGTTGACTGTATTTATTTTTGGAGCTTTTTTATTTTTTCAAACACTCCTCTAAAAATGAATGCCAGACTCATGCATAACTGGTTATAAGATTGGATATTGATGACTTTATTTCTTGAAATGTAAATTTCTCCACTACCACCGCCACTTCATTGTCGTCGTCGTCATCACCAGAACTAATTAAGTACAGATTTTGTCAACGTTAGATTTATCAACCATAACCTCAGAGTTTCACGCTGTCATCATCAAGCCAAAAGCTGAACATATTGTCATGTATTTAGGGTTGTGACTGTTAGATGTGTTTTGGATTGGATGATTGGCTTTATTGACACCTGATACACATAGCTCATAACTGCAAGTAATATTGCTGATCTACACACCTTACAAATCTCTAGCTGTATCCTGGCAATGGATTTATAACAGTCTCACTGTCACTGCGACACACTATGAGGTCTTCTTTGCACAGCCTGATTCCTTTCTTACCATTTCTTTTCAGTTATTATGCCAACTGCCAACTCTGGAACTCAATTGACACAGACGATCATCTTTGTCTTTTTATAACCCCTTGGCATGGACAGCACAGAAAACACATCTTTTCTATTGTTGCGTCAATTCGTCTCTGCAGAAACGTGCTTACCCAGTCGCTCAATAGCAATGGCTGTACACATCACATCTTGTATCATGACTATTCCTTGATTGTTGTGTGTGAGCATTACCCAGCAACAGCAGGTTCTCTGGCACCACAGTTCTTGCATGGAGCAGTTATGCACAATATGTTTCATGCAGCCGTCAATTTATTCCTTTGCATNTAATGAATTATACATGTGTATGTGTCAGTTTCCAAGGCCAGTAAGTATCAAAAACTATTGGTTTGAGTTTTTTTGTGATGAAGATTCATATTGTCATCTTGTGGGCCATGATATTACACTGTAGTCTGGTGATGGATACCAGTTTAAGGTGATTTCAGAGAAATGAGTCATGCAATATGGTAATGGTCATTGAGACCCTGGAAGCTGTCCTGTAATTTCTGACTGCATTCTTTTGCATTATCTCTATGTAACCTGTGTCTTAGCCAGCTTGAAAAACCTAGTCTTAAGTGGATGAATGAAATGGATCTTAAATAAACAGAGTGGTAGGGTGTGGACTGATTTATCATGGCTCAGAATGGAGGCAAGTGGCAAGCTCTTGTGAACAGGGTAATGAACCTTTTGGCTTCACAAAAGGTGGGGAATTGATTGATTAGCAGTCCTTAACACTGCAGAAGGCATTATGGCATGGGTTAGAGTGAAGTTTCAGAATTATGTCACAAAACCTGTAGGGTCAGAGATATACAGTATGTGTTAACTAGCTGGAAATATCCCCAGGCACCTAGGAATGTGATCTTCACTAATGCTGGATTATTAATATCCTAACCATTATATATTTGCCTTTTCCTTTACATGTACCAAATGCTTTAGAGATAAATCGATATTTCATTTTGATTTCATTTTCATCTCAAAATATACTGGAATAACATTCTATATATACTCTTAAATATGTGAATATATCTAAATGTTTAGAAGAGAAAAAGCAGAAATACAATCCATGAATTGAAAGTAATAGATCGTTATCCTGTGGTTTTGTATTCTTTTTCAGGACTATGACTGGCGATCTAGAAGATGGAGAAATTGAAGACGGCGAGATACCTGACGAGGAAATTGTTAGTGGCGGGGAAGTACTTGTGAAAAGTGAGCCTGAAAAGTCGGTAGTTCCACGAAAGAGTGAACCTACATTGTTACCTCCACAGAATGACACTGCATCACCTGAAGAGAAACCTCAAGTTTCATCTTCAAAATTAAAACGACCAGTTCCGAACCGGGGTGCAGTGAATCAGAGACATGTTGATAGTTTGAAAGAGAACACAGTGGAAGATGATTGGGCAGGTGATGTTGAAAAAGCAATAAAAGCAGCAATGAGTAGCACAGATAATGGACAAGAGTTAAATACTGAAGTGAATGAAAATGGTGGTGATATAGCTAAAGCTGAAGATGATGATGAAAGAAAGTCTCGGCGAAAGAAGAGGAAAAAGAAACACAGAGAGGATGATGAAGAGAGAAAGGAAGTCAAGGTAAATTTAAAAAAAAGACAAGGAAAGGTATTATTCATGTATTCCATTAATTGTAATGTTTAAGCTAGCACTGCATGTTACTTGCTTCATGCTTGTTTTGTGCTTCGCTTATTCATCAACCTTAAAGACATGTTCCTCTGAAACATCACTTGACATGCAACAGAATACATGGTGTTATATCCCAGAAGATGGAACTTGTTATTCCTTCAATTGTTAATAGGTTTTCTGAGATAGTTGGAAATTCAGTAAAGTCATTGTGCACTCGCCCTTTTTGAGTTGAGTCCTCCTTTGTTTTATTGAATCTGGTGGAAGTCACAGTCTTTTGTAATGGACATCTTGTACTTTGATATAAACTGCTCCAGTTTGGAATTAAGCATGGTTTTCTCACTTATACATTTATGACTTGTTTTATATTCTAAATAAATTGTTGCAGAGGGAAACACCATTCACAAACAGAGGGAAAAGTGCCACACCAAAGCTTGAATAACAAACCTTCTGCTCCACAGGGTTAGTCGCTAGCTTTCAACCGCAGCGGCCTGGGTTCGATCCTGGGTCTGGTCAAGTAGGATTTGTAATGGACAAAGTGGCGCTGGGGCGGGTTTTCTTCGAGTACTTCGGTTTCCCCTGACAATTTTCGTTCTACTAAATTTTCCATTATCACAATCACATGGGGCAGGCTACAATAAGCCAGTCAGTGGCCGCCGTGCCGAGTGGACCCAGTTGGACTCCACCCCCCCACTAAGCGAAAATTTCTGCTCCACATGACCACTTGTTCTTCAAGGCATGATGTCTGCCATCAATTCTGAGGTAGAATCATACCAAATCATATTTGATATTGATTATGGATCAAATTTTTTAAAATTCAAAACAAAAGAACATGTACTTGATATATAGTTGAGCTTCAGATTTCATGTCTTAGACTTAAGAAGCAAGTTCTTCTCCTCATAATTATGAGACATCATCTGGGCTGTCAGAAACGTTGTGAGTGAAATCTCTTAAAAATCAATAACATATGTTTGCTCATTCATTACAGTTTTAATTAAGTGTAATCAGATATTTTGTAATGGCAAAGCTGCAGTGGCTGAGTATACAAGCTGATTAGCATAATTCAGTGTTCATTGAATGCGTTTACAAAAATATGAGGGCTATTCAGAACGTAACTGCTGGTGAGCTGTTAATAAAACAAGCAGTGAGAAAAACTTTTATTATATCCAGAAAATACATACATACTTAAGCTAATTCTTAATGTAGTCACCGCTGGAGTTGAGGCACTTGTCATATTGGTGAAGTTTCTGTATGCCTGTGTCAAAGAAGTCTGCTGCCTGTGAACTCAGCCATGTTTTGACACCTTTCACAAATTCCTCATTATTGTTCAAATGCTGTGATCTTAACCGGTTCTTCAGGTAGGTAAACAGCTGGTAGTACAAATATTATGTTTCTGGACATCATCCATCATCCTTTTTTTTTATCTAATAACACCACCCAGTTTATTTTTCAAAACACAGTGTTTCAGAGACTGAATTTGGTGTCTGGATTCAGGCAAGACCTACTCAGTTGGGCCCAAACACTATAGTTAGTCACTCAGAGCAAGATCAGGGCTGTTTCATTTCATTTCATTTCATTTATTCACCTTCCATAAATCCTGCTGAGAGTACATTCTCATGCGGATGTGGAGATCATCCTTGTTACAGTCACAACTAAGGATTACAGAAATCATCCAATAGCGTGTAAGGAGGGTGGTCAAACAACTCACATTTGAAATGCTCCAGCAGTGCTCTAGTGTGAGCAGCTGTATATGGATGCACCTTTTCATGGAGGAGCACTGCAGTGGATGTCAGCATTTGATGCCTTTTGGCCAGGTGCAGTTTTTTTAGTGATTTGCAGTACACTTCTGACATTATTGTGGTCTCTGGTTGCATTAATTCCACGGAGTCTTCTCATTACCAAGGTAATGGCTATATGACCTTTCCTATTGAGAAGACGCCATTACATGGGTTCCCCATGCTGTTAGTCGCTTCTTCTGGCTTAAAACCAGGCCTGCATATAGTGGTCACAGAGTGTTACCAACAAAACACTATTTCAATTTTTATGTCTTAATCTTTGTTCTTTTTTTTTTAATTTCTTATCTTTTGTAATTTTAAATACAATTTTTATGTAAGAGTTTTAGCTTCAAATTTCACCCAAGATTTGTTATACATTTACATTTGAATTTAATTTCATGATGCAATAAGGATCCTTATTTGATGAATAAAATGACAGTTGATTGCAACTCAGCATCTCATACTGGTGCATTGTACACCTGATTATGACCCGTGAAAGGGTCGAAACATGTTGCATCTCTAATAAACATAATAAAAGCAAATGTTGATGCAGTAGTGTCTTCTTTGTTTTGAATATTAATTGTTGTTGTGTAGACGGTATATCCTATATTTTATATATGTTATAAAAGATCATCACTCCCTACAGATGGTTGATCACGTTGCTATCTGTGGTGAATATTTGTTCATCAATTTTTGAACCTTCTATGCCATTATCTTACAGTTCCTTCACTCATACGTGTAGGCTGTAAACGGTGCATAATTCATGATGGAATTCCATAGCAGTCATGTTTCTATCATGAAGAAAGTGGATAACAGCATGAATTTCATAGCTGGCAGTTTTATCAATCACAGGACACATTATAACTCACTCTGTAGAGACAAGAACAAACACTAGGTGACCAGTTACATGGTGCTACAAGTATTATGTTTTTGGACATTATCCATCGTCTTGTCTGTTCATTTAAGAAACCATCCTGTTTCTTTTTCAAAACATGTTTTGGAGACTGGATTCTGTCCCTGTCCTCAGGTACCTCCGGAGGTAGGGGCTAGCTCTGTCTATAGGACCCAACTGAGTAGGTGCACGCACACGCACACTAGTGTCCACAGTCTTATGTCTTCACTAGCTGTTGCTTAGTCATGGTGCCCGTTGGCAGACTTTCCCCTTCCTCTGGGTTCCCAAACTATCCCCAGCCTCAGCTACCAGTTTCTCAGAACAACTGAACTGCGGTAGTCCTCTGACTAACTTGCTAAGTCCACTGACTGACTCATCCTGGTTTTAACATCTTCTCACTGACCGCACAGAAAACACCGTTCCTCTGTTGCTGTACCATTGTTGCATTCGTGTCTGTTGGGAATCCCATGCGATTACTGCTCAACCATTGTCTAGCAATGGTCATTGTTTTCAGAGCCATTACTTAGCGGCAGCTGTTATATAGTTGCTTGTTGCATGGTTGTTGCCTAACAGTGGGTCTGAATGCCACAATATTAAAGTAAAATTCTTTTCTCAAATAAATTCCAAGGGATTAACAAAAAAAAAAATGCATGTCAGAGTGATTGTTTTGTTATGTGATTGTGAAAGTCATGAAAATTTGTTAGATAAATTACTTTTCTGTGGTATTGAGGGAGCAACTGCAAAGTGGTGCAGACCCATCCTACTGACAGAAATCAACAGAAAATTGAATCATGTAATGTAGCCTAGAAAGTCTTTACAAAATGGGAAACAGGGTCCCCAAGGTTCAGTTTTTGGGCCATTTCTCTTTATAATGTATATAAATGACCTTCCTCCAACAACAAATACCATACCAGCATTCACAACATTTGCTGATGACACTAGTGTCTTAATTTTTAGTAAACATGTTAATGATCGTTCTTCAGTATCAAATTTAGTCTTTTTTCCCATAAGTAACTGGATTACTGCTAACAGATTAGTCTTAAATCTTGAGAAAACCAGTGTAATAACATTTGTAACATGAGACTTACCACATGTATCAAGTATTGGGTATAATGCAAAATGTATATATGAGATGGAAAACTCAAAGGTTTTAAGTTTGCAGACTGATAACCAGCTAAACTGGTGGAAACATATTGACAGCACGTTTCCTAATCAAAATGGAGCAGGTTCTGCTATTAGGCCAGCATTTCATATTTACAATACTGACACACTTCAGATATTTCTGATTTTTACATTACTTTTAAGTATGGAGTACCTTTTGGGGATAATTCAACTAACACAAATATATATGTATTTTTCTTTTTGCAAAATAAAATAATTATAGTTGGTTTGATTCCTGGTGGGGGCAAGATATTTTTCTCATTTCCACAGCATCCATACCAGCTCTGGGGCCACCTAGCCTCCTAAACAGTTAGTACCAGGGTCTCTTTCCCTGGAGATGAAGTGGCCAGGGCATGAATCTGGCCTCTAACATCCATCTAGTGCTGAAGAGCTATACCTTCACTCCCCCATACAACATCATGGCGTGGTGTGTAATTAAACAAAGGGACAGCTTTACTTTTATATTTATGTGTAGTTTAGTTGGAGCAGACTTTTGCTGTGTCATAATATGTTCATCAATTTTTATTCATGAACGGGCAAAATAGAATCTTTGCTGGTGTGAAATCAAGTTACTTTGTTGTATCCTCTACCAGAAGCCACCATTTATGGTCACAATGCATTCACACTTAAATGAAGGAAGATGGATTATCTGCTGCCACATATTTGAATTTTACACAGGAAGTTAAGAATATAATTTTTCTGTTGGCATAAAACGTACTATCATTAGTGTGAATAATTAAGTACTAAAACAGTTGCAGTTAGAACAAGCCATGTTATCACTATCTTCATGGAATTTATTTAGAGCAATATGATATATAGAATTGCATATTTTTATATTTATGAGAATTTGAAAATTTTTATTGCAGTGCACTGAAAGAATCTGTCCCAAATATTAATGAGAAACGATAATGTACACTGGAATGCTTTTTATGGCTGATTTGTCACTGCAAGAAGAGATGGCTGTTCATGTGAAATCAGTTTACACTAAAGATTACAGGAAGCTAGTATACTCTGAGTAGAAAAATGGAGGAATATAGTACTCAAGTTAATTTTAAATAACAACTTTTACACAAAACTCTCACCAAGGGAAGTAATTCTTTTAAGTGAATAAACAGCTAATGAACAAAGGTGGAACAATCTCAAATTCTAAAAATGTAAATTGCATGTTATTATAGTACATTGAAAGAAAATGGGAACTGTGAATAGGGGTACAGTTACTTTAGTGAAGATAACATCAAAGAAGCAGATTTTCTGGAGAAAGTATGGTTATAAGTAAATGTAATTGGTTTGAAGTGATAATAGAAAGGAATTTAAAAACCACTGATTTGTGTATGGCTGCATTAATAATTTGGATGGAAAAGAACATTGAATGAATATTTGGAAGACATACAGACTCCACTGGAGGAGTTGATTGTATATTGCATGATAAGGTACTTCAGGGTGAAATTGTTTTGTCAAAACTATGTTCATGTTTTTATAAAAAGTCTTAACTGTGTGTCCTGCCTCACAGAAGCGGAAACGGAGCCATGGCTGTTCAAAGGAGACAGTGGCAGAAGAGACCATGATGGATGTGGGACAGGTTGCTACAAGTGACCCAGATGAAGAAGATGATGATGAAATGTTATTTGTTAGGGGGGCTTCCCCCATCATGCGTAGTGGGTATAGTCCACCCGCTCAAGGCTTTCATGATGAACCATTTGGATATATGGACCCTGGTGAGTTAATCTTTCCTGTGCTTTGTTAGATATTAATATTTTGATACTTTAATGCACTGTAGAAATGTTATATAAGAGACCTCAGTTATGTTATTACTTTGTATTATTTCCAGGTGGACCTTTTGAAGACCCTTATGATTCATATTGTGATGATTCAGACTATGAAAGAGAGGAATTTGTACGGTCTCGCCGTGGAGATGAAGAAGGCCCCAAAAGAGGTGGTCGTGGAGGAAAGCGACGACAGCAAGGCCGTGGAGGTGTCAGAGGCATTCAGAACAAAAGACAACAAGGAGGGCGTAAGGATGCAGCAGGCAGCAAGGGGAAAAGAATGGGCAACAAACGCCAGCAACAAAGGACAGCCATGTTGCTGCAAGACCCAAGGCAGGGGCCTGATTCCATATGTATGTTTTACATGCAAGGGAAATGTCAGAAGGTATGTGTGTTATCTCTACCATCTGGACTCCCATTATCACATCAGAAGTAAAAAGACTTCAACTCCATCCAGTAGAGATTAAGTGGGAAAATTAGTGTTTTTTATGTTGGTACTGTACATAGAATTTATCTCTTCAGTGATGACTTCAATTCTGGTAATACTCTGGTCCTAGGCCTCATACATGTCGAGGATTTTAGTGGTTAAATGCTTTGTCTTAACTCTCGCAGATGGTTTTTGCTGTGCTTGGTTTCTATACCCTGCTTTGTGTTGGCGCGGGTGTCCAGAGGTAGGGACTAGCCTTATCAGTAAGGACCAGATTTTAATGCAAATGCATATTTCTTTCTTGCAACCAGAAAGTATGCTTGTTTGGATATATGTATGAATTACTTCTTTTCTGAAATTTTAGACATAGTTTGATGATGCATATAAATGCATATTTTGCTTGTTTTATGAATAATCATCATGTTTTCGAAGATCTCTATTTATACTGTAAATTTCCTTTTTAAAATATTTATCAAATATATTTTTTATGTTTTCAATCATGGTCGTGTGTATACAATTTTTCTTTTCCATATTAGAATATGTTGTATATTTGACTCAACATTTTGTCATGATTCATGTTTCTGATGCAGTACCCAGGACGGGACTTCCCTGATCCCTCTACTCATAATTTGCCTCATCCGCGTACCATTAAGTGGCCGCGAAGGGATTAGTCGGAAGCGTTCACATGTAGCCGCTGTCACCGTAATATTATTCAACCGATAACGGACTTCACTTATTTATTTCTGAAGTCTCCATGAGGTTCATTACGTTTCTTCATTTGAAGCTGGGAGCCATTCACATTAGTGGTGACTGGTCTGTAGTTAAGTTTGTTTAGCTTTCTATAGTCATGCCGAAAGTGAAAATAAGTAAGAAAACTAAATTACAGCTGTATCAGTGGGATTTGAAGGAGAGAGTAACTATGGAAAACAAGCTTCTTTATTGCCGAGCATGTGAGAAAACAGGTGGTTGTGAAAACCGCTTTCAAGTGCTTCAGCATTTGAACACTAATGTATACAAAGAGAATATTAAAATTAAATCCACGAAAAGTGCTCCTGTTCAAAAATTGTTAATGAATTTTCTAATAATAGTTTTTTTCGCAGTTTTCCTTTGAGTTATGTGAAGCCTTTTTAGCGGCAGATATTCTGCTGTGAGAACTAACCAATCCTACTCTGAGAAACTTCATAGAGAAATATACACAGTGCAAAGTGCCAGATGAATCTACTGTGCGCAAAAATTACGTGAAGCAGTGTTACAATCTTACAATTGAAAGCATTAGAGATAAGATTCAAGATAATTTTGTGTGGGTATCATATCAATCGATTAAACACAAGATTGTGAGGGACGGTTTAGTGCAAATTGTATAGTTGGATCCCTTAATAAGAATGAACAGTCTACCCCATATCTTCTTGTGGTAGAGCAATTTGAAATCACAAATAGCTACGCAGTTTCCAATTTTTTTATCAATTCCATGAATTTACTATGGCCGAATGGCATTCAGTATGAGCACGTATTGCTCTTTGTGACTGATGCCACAAGTTATATGATGTTGAAGTTATATTTACAAATATGACACATTTGACTTGCCTTGCCCATGGGTTGCACCATGTTGCAGAAAGAATTTGTGCCAATTTTCTTCTTGTTGACAAGTTGGTGTGTTCTGTGAAGAAGGTATTTGTTAAAGTGCCATACAGAAAAGAAGCCTTTAAAGCAGTAGCACCAAGCGTTCCACTTCTGCCAGAACCAATTTTAACGTGCTGGGGCACATGGCTGTGTGCAGCGAGTTATTATACTGAACGTTTAGAAACAGTTAGGAATGTTGTGAATACATTTGATCCGAAAAGTGTAGCATCATTTCAAATTGCCCAAGAGGTACTAAAAAACGCAGAACTAGAAACTAATCTTTCCTATATATCTGCTCACTTCTCTCATCTTCCATCCGCCATTTCCTCACTGGAGGCAAGCAATAGCAATACTACTTTGTATCAGTCATTAAGTGTGTTCAAAACCACTGTTTCTAAATTGAATTCGGTTCCTGGAAGAGCTGGTTAAGTAGTAAAGGAAAAAGTACACAGCATTATTTAAAAAAATCCAGGATATGAACAAATTTGTGAAATTGAAATTTTAGCTGGTAAACGTACTGAACTGCCAAGTAAAAATCACTAACCATGGAGCAAAGAGCAGCTTTTGTACATATGCCCCTAAGTTCCTGTGAGGTGGAAAGAAGTTCTTCCCACTATAAGGACATCTTACGAGACAATAGGAGGTGACTAACTATGGGAAACCTAAAACATTTAGTAACTGTGAACTGCAACAGACAAGAAGTTGAAAGTTCTGAGAGCTAAATATGAGTACCATTGGTTTTTTAAATTTGTAATGAAATATGTTGGCTTTGTTGCATGATTTATATTTAAGTATAACTTTTTATTGCAAATGAATCATTCAGTGATTACGTAAATTGAACTTAAATATTGATTTGTTGGTCTTAAAATAATGTAAAATCAATTTTAATATTTGGTATAAATTTTTATGTGCATATTTTAGTGCATATTTCAGAAGTTTTTCATGCATAAATGCATACATATTTAAGGGATTATTAGGGCATAAAAATCTGGTCCCTACTTATCAGTTGGCCCCAACTCTGTAGGTTTTACCTGATGATGGAGGCAGAATCTAGTCTGCAAAACGTGTTGTAAATAAAAATACAATAGTGTTTTGTATAAAAACAGAACAATGGGCAATGTCCAGAAACATAATATTTGTACGACATTTACAGTTCTGCGTTTAAAAAATTAAATATCTTTGACACCAAATCTTGACTTTGTCCATGAAAAACTGATACATGAACCTTTGATCTTCCTTTTAAAATGAAATTAAAATGAGACAACCACGTGAAAGATGTGCAGATAGAAAATCTTGTTGGATGAGTGAGGAGCATAATGAGGCACATCTCCTGGCTTGTGTTTGCCTCTTGTTCAAAGGAAGGATCAAGTCCCCTCTTCCTGAATGTTCTGGAGATGTTGACTGATGGTGATGGCTGAAGGCAGCTAAGAATCATGCAGAATCTTCCCAGATTGTTGCTATGTCTGTAGACGCTGCTGAAACAATTAGAGTGAAACAATTTCTGTCTGGGTTAGGAGTGGCAGAGTGTGGATGTATATAGAAGTGATGTAGGGAGTGCTGCAAATCACATGTTAGTGCAGTGTTGAAGGCACAAGAAGAGAGCACAGATGTGGCATTATACTGAAATAGTAGTGGACAAGGAAGAACTGATATCAAGAGACTTCCAGTAAGAGAGTAACTGTTCCGGACAGTGATGAACATCACAGTATTATAAAGCCACAGCTGAACACTGCTTGATTTAACTCTCATCTCCTAACAAGTCTTGCTTCTGCATACTTTAGTCACCCAACAATACATTGTTCAGATGTTGCATGACTGCTCGTAAACTCGTTGAATGATGTGATAATAGTGATGGTAATTGCATGATGAATAATTAACGGTGATGCTGTTGAAGATGTAGGATGTGATGAAGAAAATTATCATAATCACATCATTCTGATGACACATCTTCAGTGACCAAATCTGAGGAGCAGGGTTGAAATGAGTCTCCTGCTGGTTACCTGTCAGTGAGACCATGCTGTGATCATCACTGATATCACTGAACATGCATAATGTCTACACTGTATTACTGAAACATCTGTTACATGAAGGCCAAAAATTATGAATGAATGATTTATCGGAATGTTGGTGAATAAGTGTACTGATTCTGTATGCACATCCAGATGAAACAGAAGAGAATTGGAGGTAAACTAAGGAGAGGTGAAGTGTCAGTTACTGCTCAGAAAGATAGTGAATTATTTGTGACATACCTAAGAAAGAAACAGAAAGGAGAGGGAGTTGGAATAAAGTCAAGCAATGAGGAAGACTAAACTGTATGTTTTATTAAGTGTAACAAATTATATCATATATGAAACATGTGGTATGTGAAACTCTTCACTTGCAGTTTCAGGCATTGAATGTTCAAGACCATACTTTTGGACTTTGTAAATCATCCCAGTTTTTTTTTTTAATATATAAAACCACAACCTTTTGGAAATTGTCTCTGTTTTCTTCATCAGGTAGACAGGATAAGAAAATAATCCTACTCTGGTGGGCCACATGGTTGGCAGTACTTAATAGCATAGTGGTTGGTAGTTCTGAATATTCAGAAAACAAAGAGACATGGTGATATGAGAATGGATTTTTATTCAGTCTTTTGTTGGAGGTGTATGTTGTATATTGCTGCATGATATTATAATACTGAAGGTTAAAAATTAGTTTGTTATCAAGTGAATATATAGGTGTAACCTCCAGCACTGCCACCATGAAGCCAAGTTTATAACAGACTCATATTGCAAGGGCCTCAGCAGAATAGGTAATGTTTCTTGTCCTCTCCACCTGATGAAGAAAACAGACCCAGTATCCAGGATATAATAGTGTTTATATATAAGGCTGTTATAGAAAACAAAATCATAAAGAAAATATTTTAACACCATGCCATACCATTGTTAAATATGTTTAAAAGTTTGCTGGAAGTTTATGTTCTTGTAGTAGAAGGACTTGCTAGCAGTTTGATATTGCTGTGTTGATTCATGATCTATATTAATCAGCTGCAGGAATACATTTCATGAGAAAAGATGACAAGGCAGCAAGGAAGGCATGTGGTATGAAATAAGTGCAAAGGAAAATTGTACTGTTTATTCCTGCTTGCATATTGGTGTGGGTCTGCACTCTGCATTCTTCATATGCCTTTTCAGAATGAGAATGAAATATTAAAATGATTATGTTTAAGGCAGTGAAATGAAGTTTAAAATTGACCAAAGTCTCATGATATTATAATTAAACATTTTATATATATTTAAACTTTGGGGGATCTCTTATGTTACAGGGTGATGAGTGTCCATATTCTCATGATGCCTTGCCTCCACGCAAAATGGAATTGTGTAAATTCTACCTTATGGATTGCTGTGCAAAGAAAGACAAGTGTCTGTATATGCATTCTGATTTTCCATGCAAGTTCTACCACACTGGTCTTAAGTGTTTTGCGGGTGATCGTTGCAAATTCAGCCATGGTACACTCACAGAATCCCTGAGAGCTGTTCTTCTGAAGGTGAGGCAGTTTGCATTATCTCTTCCACAATGAAAATAACAGTACTGATATACACTAGAGTGACAACAAGTGGAAATGTCATCATTCTTAGGTAGCCATAGTTTGTTTTGCAGTACCAAGTTAGACACTTCATCCCCAAACTGTGCCTACAGTCATTTTTTTGTATTTGTGTGCACATTATGTCACTGTCTTCTGTTGACCAGTTCAGTGTATTAATCAGTAAAGCAGCAGTTCTTGGAGTTTTCAGACTTATCTGTTTTTGTATGTCATATAAGTCATTATTAATTAATTTTTACTCACTGTTGTTATAATTATATAAATGGTAATAAGGTATTTACATAGAATGCACAGACAATATATAGATTTTTATACTGATACAACTGATTTCTTTGTATAATGGGAAAGCCTGCATGCAGGCATATTTTAAAGTTTTCTTACTTGTTGTGTACAAAAAACATAATTGTTATTTGACTGAAATGAGTAGTCACTTTGAATATCTTTGTTACAGCATCTAGAGACTGCTCCTAAGGAGATTCTTGGGGACTTCCCTCGCTTGAGTCGTGAAGGAGCAGCTGCAATGGTGTATAATAAAAAGAACCGTGGTAACAAAGGAACAGGACCGGGTAACAAGAAGATCCCATCACTGTTTGAGATTGAGGTTCCCATACCAGCCCAACTTCTTGCAGGGAATCTGCACGGGGATGAGGAGAGGTCTCCTGCTAGACGAACCACACCAATGCCTGATTCCGACAATGAAGGTATTTATGTCTAATGAATCTGTAACGAAAATACTCTTAAGCACAGAGAAAGCCATTCATAGTAGATTGCTTTTCATGAAATTCAGTTTCATGCCTACTGCTAGTGGGGTGGGACTAAGTCCCTTGTACTGCAGCCACTTCTGGCCTATTGTACCAGCCCCAGATGATAGGTGAGGGTGATTGTGGAGCAATTGGTGGAATGAAGATTGGCAGGGGAAACCGAAGTACTCGGAGAAAACCTGCCCCAGCGCCACTTTGTCCACCACAAATCCCACTTGACCAGACCCGGGATTGAACCCGGGCCACTGCGGTGGGAAGCCAGTGACTAACTGCTTGAGCTATGGCGTGGCCATCCATATAGGTAAATATTTGTGTGATAATTTTCCTATTTAGTATGGTCTAAAGCAAGGAAATGCTTTATCGCTACTGCTTTTTCACTTTGCTTTAGAATATGCCATTAGAAAGGTCCAGGAAAACCAGGTGAGACTGAAATTAAATGGGATACATCTGCAGCTGATCTATGCTGCTGAAGTGACTCTACTGGGTGATAACATTGATACCATGAAGAAAAACACAGAAACTATAATGAATGTTAGTAAGGAGGTTGCTCAAGAAGTAAACAAAGTCAAGACTAAGTGTATGTTGCTGTCTCATCACCAGAATGCAGGGCAAATTCATGATATAAAGATAGCTAACAGATGTTTTGAAAATATGTCACAGTTCAGATATTTAGGAATGATAGTAACAGATCAGAACTTGATTCAGGAAGAAATTAAGATGAGATTGAACTTGGGTAACACTACCTTTTCTTCTTGTCTACTGTCTAAAAAATAAAAATTAGAATATACAAAACTGTAATTTTGCCTGTGGTTCTGTATGGGTGTGAAACTTTTTCTGTGACATTAAGGGAGGAAAATAGACTAACGATGTTTGAAAACAGGGTGCTGAGGAGAATATTTGGAATGAATAGAGATGAAGTGATGGGAGGTTGGAGAAAACTGCATAATGAAGGCCTTCATAACTTATATGCTCTGCCAACTATAATTAGAATGATCAAGTCAAGGTGAATGAGATTGGCAGGGCATGTAGCATGAATGGGGGAAGAGGAATGCCTATAGGATATTGGTGAGAAAGCCAGAAGGAAAGAGACCACTAGGAAGACCAAGACAGAGGTGGGTGGATAATATTGAAACGAATCTTAGACAGACAGGATGGGGTGGTGTGAACTGAATTGATCTGGCTCAGGATAGGGAACAGTGAAGAGTTCATATGATCACAGTACTGAACCTACAGGTTCAATGAATTGCTGGGAAGTTCTTGAGTAGATATACTATTCCCAGCTTCTCAAGAAGGGCTTAGCTCGATGAAGTTAGGTGATTTTATTGTGATATTTTGTTATGTTTCTGTTAGATAGGGTCTGAACCAACATGCTGCTCTTTATTGAATGCCTTCCCCCCAAAATGATTTTATTAATAATATTTCATTATTTATGCAGTCAGCAGTCAAATGCTTTTGCTGAATCACAGAATATTCTTCCAACATGCACTTTTTGGCTGAGAATTTTAATGGAAAACTGAGCTAATTATGACCTAAAGAAACAATAAGTTCATGATATTTAAGGATACAGGCCAAATGTGGACTGTATAAACTACTTGTAAAGCTTGTACTTACCTATGGAGGTAAAAGCTGGCCCAGAGGCACATAGAAAGGAAAGAGGCACTGTATCTTTGAAGAAGGATATTAAGAAGAATTTATGGCTCACTTAAAGAAAATGGTATATGGAGATCAAGATGTAAACATGAACTTTGTAAATTACGACGGGAAGTCATAATGATATAGTTATCACCATGAGAAAATCGTAATTCCAAAATATTGTTCTATATAGGAGATAGCCCGTTTCCTGAGCTTGCCAAGCAGTCGAATTTTCCTATGTCAAGTGGACAGAGGGAGCCACCGGAAGGGGCAGAAACAAAAGGGTGATGTCACTTTAGAAAGTGGAGGGTCGTGCTATGATACGGTTCCTGCATTTGCAAGGAAGTCTGCCAGGGAGATCCATGACCAGATGACCGCTGTGTATCAGGAAGGTGTACCGTCATATGACACAGTGGTCAGGTGGAATTGGTGCTTTCATTGTGGACAGACAAACCTCGAAGATGAACCCCGAAGTTTTCGAGGAACTGGGAATTGTGGTACAGGTGGAAAGCCTTGATCCTATCCAGTAGGTGCATAACTATTGAAGCTATTGTTCATGAGGTCTGCATTAGCCATAGGTTGGTTTTCAGCATCATCCATGATGAGTTACACATGACAATGGTTGCTGCACATTGGGTGCCACAATTATTGACCCCAGCTCCAAAACAGCATTGGATGGATGTGGCAAAGAAACTTTTGCAGTTGGGTCATATCGAAACGGAATTTTTTGACTGCCTGATCATGATGGATGAATGTTGAGTCTATCATTATGACCCTGAAACAAAGAAAATGAGGAAGCAGTGGAAACATACAGACTTGCCACTACAAAGGCCAAATCCCAGCCGTTGTCAAGAAAGGTGATGGTGAGCATGTTATGGGATCGATGGGGTGTCATCATGACTGACTACGTGCAAAGGGCATCACCATCACTGGCAAGTATTACCAGAACCTTCTAAGAAAATTACAGGAGGAAATCGAGAAAAAATGACGTAGAATGCTGGGAAAATGTGTGCAACTTCTTCAAGACCACGCACCGGCTCATTCTGCTCATGCTACAATGACACTTGCTGCCAGATTGGGATATGAAATTCTCCCCCATCCACCATATTCAGCAGACCTGGAACTGAGCAGCGTCTTCCCCCTTTCCATGGCTAAGGAAACCACTTCATGATAAGTGATTCAAAGATGATGGTGATGTCATTTCTGCAGTGGAGGACCTACTAAACAGTCAACATGAGACCTTCTATGATCAAGATATCCAGCAGCTAATGCATCGTTGGGGAAAATGTGTGGCCTTGCAAGGGCATATGTAGAAAGGACTGACTCGCATACAATTTCATGCACCTGTGTCTCTGTTTCTTCTGGGTGATAACTAAAACTGTATGACTTCTCCACATATATAATGAACCAGATTCAGTGAAAATGAGCAAAGTAGGGAGGTTGAGATGACTGAGACAACTTTTTTGAATATAGGAGCAGAATTGTTGCAGGATGTTAACTGTACATAAACCAGGGGGACTTGAAAAGTTAAGGGTAGCATTTTCCATGGATATTCCTCTCCTGAAGCCAGACTGTTCTGGGGATTAGCATGCAATTAGTCTGCAAGTAGTGGCTTAGCCTATTGCATGTAACTTTCTCAGTTACTTCAGGAAATGTAGTTTGTCACGCTAGTTTTGTTGCCTTTCTTGTTTAGTTGTTTTAATATTGAAATTTTTAGATGGTCTGGGAAAATACTTGTGAGTAGAAAGTGATTACAGATGTGGGTTACTAGCAACTAATTAGTGATGCACAGTCTTTCAGAATCTTCATTGTTATTTCTTCATAACTTGATGAGTTTTTTTTATTCCAGGGAATGTATTATCCTTTTATCTCAGTTTCAGGGGTTACAACCCTCACAACACAACTAATATCAAGATCTAGGCAGTATCTTGATATTAGTTGTGTTGTGATGGTTGTAATAAAGAGGTTGTATATTGTAACACAACAGGATGCATGGAAAAAGAAACGGTTGAAATGATCTAAATACCAGAGAATTTTCTAGGAAATCCTTCTTTTGAAAATGAAATAGATCTCTCTCCATACTTGATACAAGTTTATCAGTAATTGTCAGGAAAAAAAGTATTGAAGGCATTAGCAATTGTTTGTGCATTTATTAAGTTTGACGTGATTTTCCTGTTATGTGCACTATTATATTTGATGATGTTTTTTATTTTATTATCTGATTTTGCTATAAGTCTTGTCCAGAAAACCGAGATTAACGGCTGTGGGGATCCATTGCGCTGACCATGTGACACCCTCTGTCCGCAAAAGTTGGCACTAACTTCGCTGACAAGTGGTGGTCGCTCAGTTGGTGTAGTTCACTTGTGGACTACAGGCCACAGAGTTTGTTTGTTTTTTGTTTGATTTTGCTATAAGTTTACAGTAATGATGTTTTTAGCCTTTTTTATAATCTTTTTTTTTCAGGATTTTGAAATACTTAACATATTATGTTTCTGCGTTTGGATTTTTATATTTATATACTTGTATATTTGTAGACACATTTTCAAGATACTTTTATTCCTTGTGTGATCTAGTCATTCCTATTTCAATTATATTCTTATAATAAATTGGAAAAATGGCTTTAAAAGTGTAAAAATGGGTTTGAACTTTGGTTGGTATCCTTGCCTTTGAAAACAGATTCCACTGTCTCATTCTTTAGTATAAGCTGAAACTGAACAATTGTTTCATTGTTTATTTTTCTGGTTCTCTGTTTGAAAGATATTAAGTTAGCTTCTGTAATGAGATACACTCTAAACATAGACCCTATGTTCCTGTGCCCACAGATTATGAACTCAGGTTTTGTAGTATACATATATTTTAGAGTAGCTTATAAATTGATCAAAGTCTCATGAAGGAGCTCAAGACAAGTTTAAAACAATTAACTTAGCTGTTTTAGTTTCTAGCTGAGTTGCACAAATTTCCAAATCCTGTGATAAGAAATGTCAATTTTGTTCCTGCAGCAGTTTTGCCAAGTTTGAAACAGAACTTATGAACACATGCTGTTCTTAGAAATATGATGTTCTGTGATAAAACACTTCACAAGGTGTGACACAAACTATTGCTCTGAAGAGAGTGTGCAGATGACTAAGCAGAATGTACTCTGCCTTAACCTAGCAGAGCAATTTTGTTAAAACTGCAGTAGTGTCTCATTGTGGCCAACCAAGAAACCAGTGGATGACATCATATGTATACTTTATGCTAAATACATTCTAGTGAAGTTCACACATACAGTATCTCATATATATATATATATATATGCATATACCATGTCTCACACTTTCACATGAACTCATGTCATCTACTGTGATAAAAATAATTGTTGGCTACCCCACTCTTACTTTTACCTTTATCATAATATTTTGTTGGGAACATTTTCTTGTATGTGCTGTTATATTGATGCAGTTAGGGCTGTGGCATTTTTAACTTTTTTGGTATTTTAATTGTAATTTAACACTTGCAATTCTGAAGTCACAAATGGTAGTCTAGCCCTGTACATTGGTTGGTTTTTAATGTTTCTTATCATTTCCATAAGCCATAAAAGAATTCTGAATAAAGGTTGGAAGTAAATGAAAATAGATTCAGAGTTGGGGATAGTTTCAACTATGTTTATGCAAATTTTGAGCACACAGAATTTATTGTTACTTTGTAAAATAGATTACAGATGCACTACAGATTTTGGTAAATAAAAGAAAAAGGAAATTTAGTTATTTACAATACTGTGCGCACAAATACTACAGTCTTGGTACAGTAAGAAACTTCAAAAGAAACAGTAAATATAACAACATGCATGATTCATTCTTCATAATGCATCACTGTGTGAAATATTTTGAAGGGTGTTGTAGTCCAACTTTAGTCAGTACACTGGTAGGATTTCTTTTAAAGTTATATTTTATACTCAAAACTGTATTATTTGTGGGTGTATAATAAGTTTAAATTGAAAACAGATAATGTTAGAATCTTTGCTTTTTATTAATTGCAATTGAAAGTAATAAATACAGATGTGAGATATAAATAACCAAATATATACATGACTGGACAGTTACTGCATTTTCATAGGAAAGGTGTAATGTCATAACTCAGCAGGGGTGTTGAAGTGAACAACAGCTTGTCTGCACTTTCTGCTCTATCATATCTCCCCAGGAACCTACTAAAATTTTGTCAAGGAACTTTAAATCACTCTGTATATATTCATATTTTAAGTTCAGTAGGATTTGTTGATTGTATGAAAGTTACAGTATGTTCAGTTTAAAAAACCTTTTGTATCTCTGTTGGAACAGACCAGGATGGGTGTCGGACACCAATGCCATCATCACCGAAACTGGAAACACACAGTATCACTAAGGATTTCTCCAGTAGAGCAAGTAATCGGAATTGGGATGCTGATAAGGTACCTGGAAATTCAGGTGATGAAGAAATTAGACATCCTAGAATGTTTGATAATGGGATGGATGTCAGTAGAGACCCTAGTGAAGCGAAGGAATTAACAAGACGGTGAGACTGGTTCTTTATTCTTTATTTTTCATAGTTGCTTCATTGTAGAAGAGTTTATGACATTCTTGTTTATTATAAAATAACATTTGATATTAGGTTTCTTAAATTTATAGGTAAATTATTGCTGTTTTTAAGGTGTGTGTCACATGATGAGGGAATCAGTCAAGTTTAATGATGAAAAAAGTTTCTCATGTACGAGCTCGTTTTGAATGATATGTATCTTTTTGTGGTACCTAGGTCTGTGGCTAGCTACCAGGACCGAGATTTCACAGAACAGCTGCAGCAGTTGAAAATGCGATTTTATCAAGAAACAGTTAATAGTGCAGATGAAGTAGGTGCTAATAAAGAAGTGCGACACCAGCGTCGCCACCGTCACCGACATGGCAAGAACAAAACGACAACTGACACCGAACAGCAGACAAGGATCAAACAGAATCTCCATTATCTTGCAGGGTGAGTTGCATAAATGTCAATTTTAAATTTAATTAGAAGTTTCACAAGCTAAGAAAGATTGTAACTATAACATTCAATGATGTTATCAACTATAGAGTAATATTAGATTCACAATTAAATAGAATTTATTGAAATAAATGGAGCTATAAATTGGGTACCAAACCTTAACTGGCATAAAAATATACTAGATTTAACATTTATACAACTTTGGAGAGATCTGTCGCGGCATTGATGCCATAGGGAATTGAAGCCTGAGAGATCAGAAAAGCAGTTGAAAACAAATCATCAACACCAGAAATGAGATTTGTGAAGAGAACTACAGGTTACACACTATGACCTAATGATCATAAATGATGTGAAGACATTTTAGAAGATACGATATGTATGCAATATTTTATAATGCATTACTCACCCCCACCAAGATTTTATTCTATAAATTTAGGGGTCCTACATTGAAAACAAAAGTGTGCTGGAAACCTACTCATACAGGCCATTATCTGCATTTCAATTCACACCATCCTCCATCTCATGAAAAGTGGAGTTGTTCATACTTTGATCAGTAGAGCCAAGGTCGTAAGTCAGAATTGGAAGGATTTCAACAACGAAATTGAGAATATAAGACATGATCTGATGCTCAACCTTTAACATCTGAAGTGCACCGATCAGTACAGTGATGAGTGTGGTTGAAATGGCAGAAGTACGCCGATTTGTGCAGTCGGGCATTTAAACTCCGCTATCGGAAGTGTGCACACACTCCCCTAGTAGAAGCGAATGCCCAATCCTGTATATCTGAAAGTCCAACGAAGATGTGAAACTTGCCAGCATAGAACCAAATGATTTTATTGCTTACAGCTGGTTTATGACACCAGAGAATGCAAAAATATTTCAAGTGATAGAAGCAGGAGTGATTTTATAATGCAGAACTACTTTATGAAGAAGCAAGGAACAATTTTTACAGTATGCATGAAAATTACAAAAAAAAATTAAATGTATAACATCTTTCTCTACATATTTTAAAATCTTACATTATACTATGCAGCACTATGTTATTTGCTGATAAAATAAAAGTTAATTCCATTCATTTATCATAAAAATTGTATTAAATACAGCATTTTTAAATACAGTGTAGGTGTCCTAACAGGAATGAACATTTAAATGCAGAGCAGCAACAACCATTTAAACACACCTGCAGCAGGAAATTAAATAAACTCCAGCCAGTTCAAGCTCACACCATATTAAAAGTCCAGCGTTTAAAGGTTAAAGAATTTGTGAACTCCATAATGAAGCCATTGAGAAGCTACTGTTCTTCAGATGCAGGGCACTGCCATTATCCCATATATTGAGGGTATCTCCAAGAAATTCAGAAGAATTAGAAACCGTTTCAATGTCAGGACCATTTCTGAAACTAAACATACACTCTGTAGAACATTAATTAAAGCATGACTGGTTATATATACCCAGCAGATGAAGCAATGTGCTTACAATATCCCATGTGGTTGTGACAGATGTTATTTTGGTGAGACGAGCATACCTGCAGAAGTACATATTCATCATCATCATCAGTAACCTGTCAGATGACAGGTCCACAGCCTCTTCCAAAACAATTCCTCCACTTATTGCGATCTAGAGCTTTCTCCTTCAAATGACAGTATCCTCTTCTGTCCCCAAGGTCATCCAGCATCTTCTTACGTCTTCTTGTCATTTCTATCCGCCCCTCTATCTTTCCTTTAATAACTTCTTTTAGGAGGCAGTTTCTGCGTAAAACATGACCAATCCAACTAGCCTTCCGTTTTCTTATTTCGTGTAGGATATTCCTCTGCTCACTGACTCTAATTAACAGTTCTTCATTTCTCACATAATCGGTCCAACTGATCTTCTCCATCCTTCTCCAACACCACATTTCGAAACTTTCCAGATGTTTCTGATCTACTGCCCTAAGTGTCCATGTTTCAGCCCCATACAGAGCTATGCTCCAAATGTAGCATTTCACTAGTTTCTTCCTCAAATTTAAGTCCAATTTGCTGGTAAAAAGATTCTTCTTCTTGCTAAATGCAGCTTTTGCCATGGCAATCCTGGATTTAATTTCACAAGTACACCTTCCATCATCTGTTAACAAGCTACCCAAATATTTAAAACATTTCACATTCTCCACTTGTTTTTGGTCTATCTTTATTGTGACTGGGGTTGGTTGTCTCGAAATTTTCATTACTTTTGTTTTCTCCACATTCATTTCCATGCCATAGCACCTTCCAATTTCAATTAGTCTATCAATCATGCCCTGTAGCACAGTTTCTTCCTTAGCCATTAACACAAGGTCATCTGAACATTTCACAGTTTGAATAATTTGTCCTAATTTGAAGTGTCCGAGCCCATCCAGAGCTTCCTTGGTAAGGTATTCGCTGTACAAGTTGAACAGAATTGGTGATAAACAGCATCCTTATCGAACTCCTCTTCCAATCTGCACACTTCTTGTCTCCCCTCTGTCCAGTTGTACTCTAACTTTCTGATCCATGTACCATTTGCTAATCAATCTTCTTTCACACCAATCAATACCTGTTTCCTTTAGGATCTGCATTAATTTGGTCCAGTTTACACGGTCAAATGCCTTCTGCCAGTCTATGAAGCAAACACACAGTTCTTCATCTATCTCCAAAGTTCGTTCTGCTATAATTCTCATTACACATTACACATTAAGGAACACAAATATAACCTGACACAAGGTCTGGTTGAAAAATAAGAATTAGCACAACATACTTATGAAAAAGGCCACAAAATATTTTGGAAAGAAGCAGAGGTCTTGCAGATTAAACCAAAGACGACATTCTGGAAGTACAATGAATCTGCCTCCATGTCTCTGATAGATCATCCAATCAGTCAACCCAGCTTGGACAACTTTCCCATCCAGACTCCCATTATTGTAGCAGAATTAAAAAACTACAATTCCGTTCAGTGTAAAGTAGTTGGGAAAATTGTGTCTTTTATGTTGGCACCATACAGAGAATTTATCTCACTAGTGATGACATCTATTCTGTTAGTACTCTAGTGCTAGGCTTCATACAAGTAGAGTTTTTTTAATGTTTGCCTTAACCCTCACAGTTTGTTTGTGCTGTGCTTGGTTTGTATACCCTATCATGTATTGGTGCAGGTGTTCAGAGACAGGGACTAATTTTATCACTTGGGTCCAGCTGAGTGGGTTTCAACTAAAGACAGAGACAGATTCCAGTCTCTGAAACGTTGTGTTCTAAATGAAAACAAGACAATGAGTAATGTCCAGAAATACAATATTTGTATTAATCAACACAAACTTTTGCTTTTATTTGTAAATTTAGGGTTTACAAGCTAGTGAACTATTGAGTTTAGAATAAAGAAAATCTCTTACTAACATGGCAAATACAAGAACATTTCATTAATGCTTCTTAGAAGTTAATATACATTTGAAGTATAAGTAGATACATCAAGCAGATTTTCAAGAATTTCCTCGAATTGCTGATCAGCTGAAGTTTTCCCTATTCAGCATTTATCAAAATGTGCATTCTGTGTTTGCAGTTGCCTAATACAAGGTTATGTTTTTTGTCTCTGGATTATTAGTATACTGCAAGACTCCAAGAGTGTCAAGAGAGATTATAACTATATGGAATGCTTCAGCTTCCAGTGTATAGTGATACTGTTATTTTATTAGGAAAGAGCACGAATACAAGAGGGGTACATGGATGTCCTCTTAAAGGAACCAGAGATTGAAATAAAAATGGAAAAAGTAAACATGTATTTAGGTCTTAACTAGAATTGGAAACGAAAGTTGCCTCAGGATAAGGTGCAGTGCTTCCTCTACAAGATTATACCCAATTATGCTCTGCAGAAACCCCAAAGGAAATGATATTATCAGACTTACTTGATAATAACTATTTACTTTGATCTTTCAGATAAAATAGGGGAATACCGTTTCAGTACATTATTAAAGATAAATAATAAACAACAATGTATGAATGAATGAATGAATGAATGAATGAATGAATGAATGCCGAAAAATTCTTGAAATATATTAAGGCAATGTGTTGATGTCTGGGACAGATACTCTCACTCACCTGCAACAGAAGCTGACAGTGGAGGATCACCTTCTCAACAAGGTGGCAGTTCAGCTGGTGTGGAAGCGGTAGAGTTGGCAGATGATGAAGGAAAGCTAGAGATAGTTGACCAACATGAAGATGATGACAATGAGGAGGATGTTGATGGTGGTAAGACTCCACCAGTATGTTCCACAGCAGTGCAAGATGGCAACAAGAAAGATCAACTTGACACAGGTGAGAATACACACTTGCCAGTGTTCTGTGTGCAACAGGAACATGACCAATTTTTGTTGAAAAATCTGAGTAATTACATGATCTGTTCAATAAGGTCTGGAACTTTTGAAACAGCATGCCAACTTGATGTCTTAACAATGTGCTGCCTAGTGATGTGCTTCCTTATTATCATCCTTTTTGCTGCATCATCCTGCTGTGATTATTCATCGCCTTAGAGCTATTTGTTCACGTTTGTGTAAAGTGTGTCTTGCAATATTCGAGATGGCTGATATTCATGAGGAGCATATTAACATTAAATTTTGTTCAAACAAAGGAAAACGTTTACAGAATCTCGTGAAATGATGAAAAACGTTTATGATGATCACTGCATGAGTCATACACATTGTTATGAATGGTTTAAGTCATTTAAGGATGGTCAGCAGTCAACACATGATGAGCCGTGTTTGGGATGGCCCTTGATGTTATATGATGACGCTCATGTTGTGCAAGTTTGTGAAACCATGCTTTCTAATCGACATTCGACAGTGTGGGAAATAGCAGAAGAGTGCAACATGTTAATAGGATCATGCCATGACATTCCTGTGACAAAATTAAAATGCATTTGGTAGTTTCAGAGTTTTTCCCATGACTTCTGAGACAGGATCAGAGATAAAGTCATGTTACCATCTGTCAGGAACTTCTGGATCGTGTTAACGAGGATGAAAACTTTCTGAAAAGAATTATAACTGGCAATGAAACATGGGATTATGTATATGATGTAGAAAGAAAAATGCGGTCTTCACAGTGGTTTGTAAAATATTCACAGAGACCAGAAAAGGCACAGTGGATCAGGTTGAATGTGAAAGTCATGTTGATGGATTTTTGCATTGAGGGTGTGATGCATCATGAATTCTTATGTCAGGGGCAAACAGTGAATTGTGGTATTGTCTCAAAATGCTGAAATCTCTAAGAGAATATGTCAGGATAAAAAGACTTCATTTATAGAAAAAACAACTCCTGGTTTCTCCATCATTACAATGTGCCAGCTCATGCATTTTTACTGATTTGTGACTTTTTGACCAACACAAACACAAGTGTGCTTCCTCATCCATCCTACTCACCTGACCTGGCTCCAGCAGACTTTTTTCTTATTTCCCAAACTGCAGTCCACTTTGAAAGGATGATGATTTCAGATAATTCAAGAGATTACAGAAAATTTGCAGACAGAGCTATGCGCAATCCTGAAAAAGGCATACATACTAGGACCATTTCCAAATGAGGCAATGGCATTAAGAGTGGTGCATTGATGCAGAAGGGGAGTACTTTGAAGGCGATAGGGCTCACTCAATTGCAGGCAAAAATATTATAAAAAAATTGTTTCCAAAACTTTTTAAACAGACCATATATTAACAAGATAAATTTATTGTTTGGTTCAAATATGCAGGCCCAACAGTATAACACACGCAGTCACAGGAGCAAGACACAACAAAAGCACAACACACACAATAGTGAAGGAGTGCTCCAACAGAGGAGGATGGGCGTGACTGGCGTAGTGAGGTGCGACGTAGCAATGAGGAATCCTGAACAATTTTAATATTTTTAACGTTTGACATTTGTCAATGTATATGATAGATGTATATTTTAGTTATTTTAATGTGAGGACAAGGCATGCAATGGACTAGTTTGGCGTGGATTGAGTAAGCACCTGAAGATGGCATTTTTATGCCGAAACATGTAGTGCAAGTGAGAGAAGGAGATAGATGAGTGTATGCACTGCAAGACGGTTTAAATAAATCATGGACTTAAATCAGTGCAACAGGACGCTAAAATATAACATGCAGAAATATGATTAAGTTTAAAGGTTAGTGACAAATTTTTGTTATTAAAGTGACACATGTGTTGGACATTTCCTATTTTCTCATTCGTGTTGTGTTTTACAACGCAGATGATGGAGTACACGGTGGGTCCAGGATCTGTTAGGACTCATTTTTTTAAAGTTTTCCCTGCAATGCCATCTGTTGGCGAGTTGTGGTGTTAAGATTCTTGAAGTTTCAGCTGTGGCTGTCTATAATTTCAAAGCGCAAGCATTGCTGCATCATGTGTTCTGACCTTGAATGTAACAGTACTGTTCTGATGGTCATTGGAAAATGGCAGTTGAACAGAGAGCCAACATCAAATTTTGTTTGAAGGTAGGAAAAACAGCTGGAGAAGTGTACGAAATGATGAAAAGTGTGTACAGTAGTGATTGTTTGAGTTGCTCAAACATTTTTCGATGGTATGTTATATTTTGTGACAGCAGGGAGGGAATTGAAGACACTCCATGTGCATCAAACCTGAAAACAAGTCACATTAAAGAAAATGTGGAAAAAGTGACCGAAATCCTTGCATCAGACAGATGTGTTTCTGCAAGACTCATCAAGGAGCTTTTGGGAATACCAAAAAATACTGTGCATCAAATTTTGACCAAGGATTTGGGCAAATGGAAGGTCTATGCACGGTTTATATGACACACACTGTCAGGCGACGAAAAACATGCCAGAGTGGAACACTGCAAAGACACGTTATGGTCAGCCCAGAGTGATACAGAATTTACAAAATTAATTGTTACTGGTGATGAGACATGGTGTTTCCAATATGAGCCTCTCTCAAAGTGGCAGAGTGCAGCGTGGTTGAGCTCAAAGAAGCCAAAACCAAACAAAGTGTGCATGCAAAAGAGTTGAATAAAGACACTGCTAAGCGTTTTTTTCAATTCCAAAGGAATCATTCACAAGAAATTTCTGCCAGAAGGTCAAACAGTGAATTCTGACTATTATCTCAGAGTCCTCAATCGTTTGTGTGCCAGAATTCTTCGAATTCGACCTGAATATTGAGGGCATGGTTCCTGGTCTCTCCTCCATGACAGTGCCCCACCCCACAAATCAAAGATCGTGCGCGATATTTTGGCCAGAAGAGTGATTACAGTCCTTGATCATCTTCCGTATTCACCAGATTTGGCTCCAGCAGACTTCTGGTTATTCGCAATAGTTAAGTTGGTGATGAAAGGAGATCATCACAACACCATCCAGGACATCCAAAGGGAATGTACCGCAGTTTTAATTGCGATTCCACAAAAGTAGTACAGTGACTATTTTGAAAACTTTTCAATTGATTCCAGCTATGTATGATTCAGAATGAGTCTATTTTGAATAAAAAGAGTGAAATTTTGAAAATAATTCACGTCTTGTATTTTTAATGAACACAGTCCTGACAGAACCTCACATTACAAATACTAATGCATAAATTATACAAGGTGAAGACTATCTGTAATTGTACACCAAGTATTTTTTGTATACAGGCATTGGTATTTTTAATTAAAAAACAAATAATGAAATTTGTACAGATCATAATAGCAGCTGCAGCACAGAGACTGGAGGGCTTCCACATAACCTGCCCAAAAAGCAGCGAGAGCTGTTCCTTCGAATCCAGCAGCAGCAGCGTGAGGCTGCAGAGTCAAGCAGTCACGATCAGAGTGGAGAGGATGATGGCAAGGATGAGGATGTTGAACAGCAGCAAGAGGAGAACTGGTACTCAAGTGATGAGGAGGAGGCAAGCCTGGCAGATGTTCTGAAGAACCTCTCCAAGCAGGTGAGATGTCACATGGCTCAAAGACATATCTAATAAGTATGGTCAAACTGTAGGTCTTAGTTGCAGTAACTGAATGTGTAGTTGGGTGGTTAGTGCTCCTGCTCTATAGTTTGAAGTTTCCACATTTCATTCTTAGCACAGTTACTTCTTGTGCCCTCTGAGTTTTTTTAGTATCTATTTTTTGTAGGTAAATGCTGAGATACCATTTTAAAATAGACCATGACAGCTTCTTTCATATTCTTTAAATTCATCTTTCATTTCTCTCACTGCAGATGAGAAAGTGTTGAAACACAATCCAGGAAATGACATTAACTTATAGTAAAGATGTATGAACAGTGAGGATTTCTTGACAGATATTTTGATTGCCCATCTTAGAAAGGCAAGTAAATGTTCTGTCTTTTGTCGAGTACCTGGCCAGATAAGCCTTCCTAGAAGTGAGACTGCCGATGCAGTTGCCAAGAAAGCCACTTTGCATGGAGGTTTAATATCTGAAAAAAAAAAGCTCAAGGCACCTCTTTCTTTCAGTATGTTTTGTGTGCCTGGAAAGGTAATTGGACTTACATCCAGAGCAAAAAATTATGAGCAGTAATACTGTCTGCACAAGTCTGGTAATCCTCAGTTGCTCCTCCAGTTCTTTCAGGAAGGAAGAAGCCATTATTAGATGGCTATAGATTGGTCACACTACCCAGCATTTGGACATTTGTTATGTGGATCCAGCACTTACATGTACTTCTTGTGTGTAACCCCCTACTTTTCTTCATATTCTCATTGGATGTCCATTTTATGATGATGAATGCTATACCTTTGATTTACATGGCACATTACAAGATATGCTTCAAGATGATCACAGTAATGTGTCTATGTTCTTGGCATTTGTTAACTGTGTAGGTCTTTCCACATCCATTTCACAGAGATTTTATATGAATTTATAACCTTTAGGATTTGAGTTTCTCACAGCAGTGGTTATGAATACTTCTATTTTCTTGGATATAACGCTGTGTAGTCCATTGAAAGTCAACAGACTATAGCAGAAGGTTATGACATTTTTAAGAATTGCTAGAGTTGACCTCCTGTCTCCTTTGTGTTGAGGTGTGCTTAGCAGTATGTAAACTAGTTTAGCAGTACATTCTGAAGTGGTGAATAATTTCACAGAAATACTGGGGTTTTGGACTTTTTCCATTGTCTGGAATTTTAGGTAATAGAGGACATGATTGGATGTTTTGGAAACGGAATCTGTTTTTGTCTTCCTTTCTCACCTGAAGATGGAAACAGATGCAGTTTCCGGAATGTCGTGTCCTCTGTTACCTAAAATTCTGGATGATGGAAAATGTCCAAAACCCCAGTAATTCTGTGTGTCATCCACCATTGTCAGAACCCTCTACTTGTGACTAATTTGTCATGCATTTACAGGAGCGCATGCGACTACTTTTACACTGTGCAGTAGCACTTACTGATTGACATGAGGATTTTCTTTGTTCCTTATTCATATATTTTTTATATTGACATGACCAACAGGGTAAAATATATAAAGAAGGAAACAGCAGCACCACGAATAGAGTGTACAGTATGTTTTGTCTTCAATCACTGTGTAACTTTGCTATATGAAGATTAATTTGCAGAGTTAACAAATGTATTATGGTGATACAGTTGTGTGTGGAAATTCTGCTTGCTCAGATTTGTTTATCTTGAGGTCTGAATTCATTACTCTTGCAGTGGGGTGTACAGTTCATTGAATACTCTTAGTTTAATCCTTCATAAGAAAGAGCATATACAGCAAGAGTGCTTGGAGGTTCATTCATAAATGCCCATAGGAACAAATTCCCAAAATATCATGCGTCTTGAAGTTCATCAAAAAGTGGTGGATTGCAGGTGCAGTTTGTGACAAAAAGGAAAGCCATCCAAGAGGCATGTGGTAACGAAAGAAAATGTTCAAAATATTTTGTAACTTTAATCACAAATTGTTAAGCTTCACGGCACAAGAAACTGGAGTTCTGCTGTGACGTTTGCTCATAGCCACAAGACTAATTAAATTTTGCTGTATAAAATAAACATATCTGGATGAGCATAAGTAACCAGGTTATGTAGTAAAAATTCACATTTGCAGCTGGTTTCTATAAAATTTGCCAACCAGAGTCATTGATCCGCAGCCGCTCTTCCTTGAGGCCTCATCATAATGGTGCGATTAGTATGCAGGGTGTATAAATATGGATCAATGAAAATCCTCATATAATTTAGCAAGTACCATTATACAGCGTCAGTGTTGTGAAGTGGTGAGTTGTAAGTGCATGGCGAATTATTCACACCAGAACATCAGGATATGTCACAGTACTTGTTTACGTGCTGCAAGGCATGTTTGAAGGCAAAAGGGGATCACCTCTCACCATTCTTGTGAAATGTAGTAAGTATGATTTCCTATTATGCAGTAATCTATATTGTAGTTCTGTTTAAGTAGAGAGAGTCCATGCTCAATGAAAGGAAACCTAAGTACTTTTCTCTCTATACTCAAGTGAGTAAACACAAATATGAAAACACTACATTTTTGTTTCAATTGAATATCCTATAGCATGAGATTTTTAAAGTCAGTGTACTGCTTCTAGCATCATTCTTTTTGGATGTATGGAAGAAAGGACGTAGAAACATGGAATTCCATCTGGTGGATACTGCATCATTATGAAATGTACCTCATAAGTAGAACCACCAGCTTGTATTTAAATATAGAAATGGACTAATTGTGTGAGAGTGTGACCAAAAGGGTACATGCCCCCCAAATTGCTTTGGAAATATTCTTGTATTGATTCTGTGTGCATAAGTTTTGAGGTATGTTTCTTTTCCCTCCCCCAGAAATCATTGAATTGATTTTTTAACAGCTTTCTCTATTTATAAGAATACAATAGATTTTATTTTTTAATAAAAATGAAAGTGAAAAGAATTAATTTGATAACATGTTGAATACATTAAATTTGAAGGGATATGAAGGGCTGTGTCACAAAGAACTGCCATGATTATAGGTTGCTTTGGCTCTTCAAATTTTATGTCTTTAAGAAGCATTGTATTTGTTAATGAATTGATTTGCTTTGCATCTACAAGGGAAGAAAAGTAAATAAATTATAGTTTTTTTTATTTCAGTTTAACAAATGGTGGGTGCTATCATCCACTTGTCAGTATGACTACATAACTGTGTGCTGCTTGTCTAATTTCTGATAGCAGGTTGTCAGTTTTCCATACATATTGCAACAGTGCATTTCTGAAACTCTAATTTATGTATTGAATTGAATTGAATTGAATTTATTTACGTTCTATAAATCCTAAGTAGGTTAGTACCTTTGGATACAGAACAAGTCAAAAGGTTACATACATAAGTACAGGCAATTTTAGCTTAAAAATTAATATAACTTAATTTTACATCATTCTCTATTTACATTGAAGTATTCATCTAAAGAGTAGAAGGAATGAGCATGTAGATAATTCTTTAACTCTGATTTAAACTTTTTAGTATCATTGCCCAAGTTTTTAATACTTTGTGGCAGATTGTTGAACACTTTTATGCCAGTAAAGTAGACTCCTTTTTGATATACTGATAAAGTTGATGAGGGTAGGTGGAAGTTATATTTTTGTCTAGTATTCATGTTATAGACATCAGAATTTAATTTGAATTTATCTTTTAGTATTTATTAGTATAGTCTGCTGCAATCTCTGATAGTGTGACTTCTCACAACACATGAAAATGAATCAACTGTGATACTATTCAAAATGATGCCATATAGTGTTCTTTTTATTGTCTCCGTTACTGTACCAGCTGCTCACAAAACAGGAAACTCTTTCCATAATATCCTTCATTTTCTTCAGTGAAACATGTAACACTGTGTTTAAATTTTATGAGTTCCTGCATTTATCTACTTCGATGCACTTTGAAGTACACTCAACTCTCGATTATCCGGGGGCGGATAAACCAGTTTGCGGCTTAACCGGGGCTACTGGGGCCTTTTTGAGGCTTATATGTTGTTTAATATTCATTCACTTTTGTTTCACATGGTGAGTTGTAACACTATTTTCGCACTAGTGTGAACTGAGCTCTGCATTTTTTGGTCCCGTTGTGCTAACACAGTGTTCTAGGGTAGGGGTGAAAGAATGCAAGGATTTGTGGAAAGTTTCAAAGACAGATACACCGCCCCAATTAGTCTCTTTGTATCGATCTTCAAATGCATTAGCAAAATGTCAGGGTGTAAAAGGAAGCGTGTTGTGTTAAGTATTCAACAGAAAAAGGAAAATGCCGCGAAAAAGCAAACGACAGTATTACATTTTTTTAAGTGTTAAGTGTGAATATTCATAAAAAGTGTTGGATGTTGTTGGAACACTGTGATTGAAATAACTAGTTCATACTTCATTGTAATGTAAAAAAAGTATTAAATAGGCCATGAGATGACATAAAAATGAGGTTGAATAAATTTAAATACAGGTAGGCCTATAGTATTATGAAGGTACAGTATTACAGTACTACTTTTAATAAAATTTGTCGTAACCGGGTTTTCGATTAATCGTGATTTCCATGCCCACCATTATCCCGGATAATTGAGAGTTTAGTGTATTTGCATCCACTTTTACTACTTGTATCACTCAGTACATCTTTGCCTTTAAGTCGTTCATATATATTTTTTGTTGCCTTGCATGCAACTTCTTTGGAGTTTCCTTTTTTAATGTTGAAGACTTCTGTCGCTTTTAAGAACTCTTCTCCTTCATAGTTAAATAGCAATAAACATGTGTGATGTTTCATATTTTTGTATTAAATCAGTTAAAATTGAATAAATGCTATGTACAATGTTCTAGAAAGTAATATGAATTTTTGTTTGATTGCAGCAACAGCATTCAACTTCCCCCCCAAGAGCCAGTACAACTCCACCCCTTCCTGCTCCTGCTGGTACTCCATCTTTGGACAGTATTAAACTCTCTGCTATTGACATCAGTGAGCCTGTCAGCAAATTGTTGTCAAGCCTCCGTCACCAGCAGAGCACCAGTGCAGTTAGTGTGATACAAGCTGCAGAAAACTCAGACTCAAGGTAAAGTTCATTAAATACTTATAATATTAACTTGAACACCATCATTACAGAGTTTGTTGTGCCCTGTTTTACAGACACCAGCAGTAACTCAAGATATGCTGTGACTGCTTTCTCCCCATTTCATAATTATTGTGATAACCATAATTTTATACTATGTAGTTAGTTAGTTAGTTATTAGAGAGGGTGGGTTTCCCCATGCACTTAGACCAGTATTGGTCCATTGTGCTTCCCTCTATGATATTCTACCAGTCTCTATATCCTACCGATATTGGTGCATTCCATCAGTTCTGACCAAGCCAGCGAGTTCGCCTCTACTGGCTTGACAGTATCTATAATGCTTCCCCCATCTATCGGAGGCGTTAGAGACTACTGTTGGGCGGGAAATGTCCTGAATTTGGCTCAGTGACCTCCTTTGGAGATATGAGGTTCTTTTACATGCCGTAAAGCTACGACACGGGACCCACGGCTTAAAGTCCCTCCCGGAGGACTTGTTCCCTGAATTTTTCCGCCCTTAAAAATTCCACGACCTCCGCCAGGTTTTTGAACCCGTGTACCACGAGTCATGAGGTTGGAACGTTACCTCTAGACTATGGAGGCCGCTTTTATGCTATGTAACTTCAATAATTTATGCTTTAAAGTTGCTTAAATAACTGTCAAGTCATTAATGATCATTTGTGATAAGGAGACACCAGTGTAAAAGTAAATCAATTTCTGTATATTCTTTTGAACAGTTAGATGTCATGTGCTGTCTTTCATAATATGTGTGGAGTTTGCACTTATAGAAGCAGGCATATGCATCAATAGTATTTGATAATAAATATCGGTGTAGGAATAATAATTGACATGATTTATGTTCCTGTTTCTCCCAGGCTGGTTACAGTGTTCTTTGTTAAAGGTATCATCACCTGTCTGTCTACTCCCATAGCGAAACACTGATCCATTAATATTACAGTTGACTACTCATGCTCCACCCTGAATAAATACTCTAAGAGAGAAACTCCAAGTTCGACTTAGTAATATGCCTTAGTTAATTACATTCTCCACTTAAAGAAACTCCACCTTTTTATTAATACCCCCATATCAAGTTCTGTTAAACTACAATGTGAAGAGTAACATTCAGTTTGGGCTTACCATCTCACCAGCCACTTGTTGGATACCACTGAAGCTAGTGTCTTGGATTATATATATGTGTACTAAGATGGCAGCTGGATGAAGAGAAATGAAGTTTAGGCCTACTGGGATATGGCTCCATGTAGTTTGGTAGTTAGGTACCAGTGATTTAGACACCTTAATGCTTCCATCTTCAGAGCAGATCACACTACACAGCACCATATCCCAGATATGATATGATATATTGTGACGTGGTTGGCATAGCGGGAGGTGGGTGGTAGCATGAACTCTGTGATCCTGCGAGTGACATCACATACCCCCACTCCGTCCATCAGTGTGCAACGCTCGGTAGACACCCCTTTCCCCGCGGTGACATAACGTGGGATGCCACAGTTGCTACGTAGCCATAAACAACTTCCGGCAGTGCTACCCAGGCAGTCAGTAAACGCGACGTTACACAACAGTGGTGCCTATTACATAACTGTTTTCTGTGTTGTCTGTAATGGGGCTAAATAAGGAGCAATGAATACTATTCAACAGTTAGTTATGAGTTAGCCAGGGAGTCAGCAGTCAGTCAGTCGGTGACACAATGCGGATGGAACAGTCGCTGAGTTCAGTTGTAGCGGAAAGAAGAATACCGGAACGTGTGATTAGAAGTGATGGCATGAGAAGCAGATGCTTGGCTCACAAGAGAAATAATTGGGAGTGTGTGATACAGTGACACTTGTATAGCTCCCATATCATACTGTGAATACGTGTAGACTACAGAAGATAGAGTGAATAGAATATTGTGTAGGGTTTGTAAATTGTGGAAACCCGTAAGAGTGTTATAATTAATTGTAGCCAAGACTTGTAGGTTGTTAAATAAACCAACTAACAATCCGAATGGCGTCTTCAGTGGCAAAAACAAGTTAGTATGATAGTGTGATGTGTCAAACCATTGTTTGGCAACGAGATATGGAACGAGGTTAAGCAACAGTAAGGAAAGCAGTGTTTGTCCGTGCTGTGCCGAGCAGAGCCGAAGCGCACTGGTTGCTACGCAGCATTGCAGTAAACATCTCTTGGCAGCATTGCCCAGCAATGCCTCTGTAAACAAGGTGATTACGCAACAGTGAAGCGAGGTGCATTTTCCACTGCCTGACTGAGGGTTTATAAGAGTGACTGGAGTGCCTAATGGAGTTCAGTTGACGTCTAGCAGTTATGAGTTGTTGAGTTGTATCGAGTGAATGGAATCAAGATAGTTGAAGCCTGGAAATGTCTACAGCAGGATAAGTAATTGGGATACTGAAGTTGTGAGTTATGTAAGTATGGATAAAAGTGTGCAGTAAATTTGCTAGATCCAAGATCAGCGTGAAGTTATTTGTCGTGTCGCACACAGCAACACATGATGACTGGTGTTACAGAGGTGAGATTTGAACTTAAACCCGCCTCGATCTAGGATGAACTATTCAGACAAGTGTTATACTGCCACATAATGGAGATGGAAAAATGGTGGGACTCCTGCTGGCCAGGATGGAGTCCATGCAGGAAAAGATAGACGCCAACCAGTCTAAGACAGACAATGCTTTTCAGGCCATGCAGAAAAAGGAGAAGACCTACAAAGAAGAAATGCTGGAAAGAATGGACACCAACATGAAATTTGGCTAGGAACAGCTACAAAAGAATCTAAAGGGGATAGTCAAAGAAATGATGCCGATTACCTGAAAAGAGACGATGGCCTGCCGAGAAATGATGGAGGCTTATCTAGATGAAAAAGAGGAAAAGCTGACCTCACTGGAAAGGAAACCTGAGGTGGCAGAGCATTAAGAAATCCCCATGGAAGATGTCTTTGTGAAACCAGTCAAAGGATGGAAGAAGTGGCAGAAGGGCAAGAAGCAAGCTGCAGGGCGACGCGAAGGGCCAAAGGAACTGACCTGAGGAGAGTGTGGATCCTGGAGGAAGTTGGCTGCCACCTGCAGGAAGGTATCCTGTCATACAGCAGTGGCACAGTGCAAGAAAAACGTCTTCAGGAAAATTCGGACCCTGAGAAATTGTGGACCATAGAAGAAATTGGTCGCAGCCAGCAGGAAAATGACCCACTGTGCAGTAGTGGCACAGCGCAAGGTACGAGGGTGTCAGGGATGCAGTCAGGAAGGACTGTTGGTCAAACAGGGATGGCAGACGAATCAGACCAGGAATAAATTTGCAAGAGGAATCCAGCAAGGATGGACGCATGGAAGGAGACAGCTGATGCTCTAGGAACCGAGACTTCGAGGAGCAGCTATTGCTTGGAAGTGAGAGGACAACTGATGGGAGCTACAGGAAGACCATCGGACTGGAAATCGTGAAGTGAGCAGCAGGAATTTCCAGCAGGTTACCGAAAATGAGGAACTGGATCTTGTGGAGTGGTATGCCCCCTCTGAAGTGGAAGAAGAAGCAACATTAGCACAGAGGAGGAGCCGGTAATGTAGAAACACTGGCCTCCTCAGTGAGAGTGAATGAGCAAGAAAGAAAGTGAGGGATGATTGTGATGCAACTGGATCTCCTGGAACATTAGCAAGAAACCACTCGAGGCGAGCTGGTCTTAAGGAGGGAGTGGATATAGTGGTTGGAGAATGGACAACGGGAAGAAATGGAACACTGAGCCAGACAAAAAGGAGATGTTGCAAGTATAGCTTTGGAAGGAAAGGACCGGTGATGCACTGTTCGGCTATTTGGGATGAACAGCCTTAAGAAGGGAGCAGTGTGACATGTCAAACCATTGTTGGGTAATGGGATATGGAACGAGGTTGCACAACAGTAAGGAAAGCAGTGTTTGTCTGTGCCGTGCCAAAGCGCGCTGATTGGTGTGCAGCGTTGCAGTAAACATCTCTTGGCAGCATTGCCCAGCAACGCCTCTGTAAACACGGCGAATACGCAGCAGTGAAGCTAGGTGCATTTTCCGCTGTCCGACTGAGGGTTTATAAGAGTAACTGGAATGCGTAAGGAGTTCAGTTGAAGTCTAGCAGTTATGAGTTGTTGAGTGGTCTTGAGTGACTGGAATCAAGACAGTTGAAGTCAGGAAGTGATTACAACAGGAGAAGTAATTGGGATACTGACGTTGTGGGTTATGTAAGTGTGGATAAAAGCGTGCAATTAATTTGATAGATCCAAGACCGGCATGAAGTTATTTGTCGCGTCACATACAGCAACACGTGACAATATGATATCCCATATCTTGATACTCACTGCTGAGAGCCTATCTCATAGGGGAATAGGAGGTTGATTCCTAAATGAGAAATTTGTCTGGTAATCTGATATGAAGCAGAACCTTAGTAGCTTTTAGAGATGTCTTGGAGTCTGCAATGATGGACCACCTTGAGGCAACAGCCAATCATGCCACATAATGCACATCCTCTCTTTTGTCTTGTTGCATATTTGGTCTCCAGTTCACAGTTCTTTGTTAGCTAAATGGAGATTTTAATGGGGCTGTCTGAATGTCATATTTGGAAGATATGTGAATATGTTAACATGAGATTTATTTATGGATTCATATTCTTTGATTGAAATATTAATGACTATATGCAGAAATTCTAGAACTTTCATGTTCAAGCCTTAGTGTTACTTTAGATTATTTTATATACAGAATTGGAATAGTCATATAGATGGTTTTAAGTTAGTAGTAGTGTTAGGTTGTTGGAACTCTTAAACATTTGTTTTACAATTTATTATGGTTGGTATTCATTTAGGGAACATTAAGTTTTCAGGAATCTTTTCTCAGCATTTTTCTGTTTTGTTACTTGGTTTCCTCTGGTTATTGTTGTTTACAGTTACATATTCTGGGTTTTCTGATTTACGGACTTGTTGTCATTTTACATTATTGAAGCCTGGCAAACATTTAGATTTGAGAATCTGCTTGCCGTTTTTCCTGT